TTGCAGCGTACATCGATTGGTATCCACATCACAATAAATTGCAACGATCAGTGAGTAATTTGTCTCCAAAACCCTTCATTAACTCTCAGTATCTTCTTCAGTGATGTATTCCAGAACTTTGTTAATGTTTTTACTACTGGGCTACCTGGCATTTTGGTTATGTTTGACCCAGGCGTACAAATTCAACTTTGTATACGTTTCATCTTTTTCATAGCAGCATTCAAGTCAATGTAACTGAGTTTTATTGTATGTCAGATTTCAGAAATAGATCTTGCTTTCCATTTGTCTTTCTTGTCCTAATTTGATAATGTACATGATTCTGTCAACAGCTGCCTCTCAGTACTCCTGTATCAATGCCCTCCATCTTTGCTGATGTGTCGGTTGCTATGATACAGGATCCTAGCAACACACAGTTCCTGTCTCAAGGAGGTAGTCAGGTGCATGAACCACACACCAGTGCATCATTTTTGACTAATGAAGGCGAAGCAGTATTCAGTCTAGCCACCAATGTGGGCAATATTTTGGTTGTTAAACTGCCACCATTGGGCATACAAGGTTAGTATACCACAAGTACTCATCATTGGAATGCTATTTTGAATTGATAATTGAAGTGGGGAAGTTTACTTCTGTGCATGCATGCATTGTATGTTTGCATCAATATCTTGGACATACATATACATTTGACATAATGTCATCTCGATGTACACAATGGCATTCCAGAACCGAATCTTTGTCATTTATGGATGGATTTTGTGCAATCTTGGTACATACGTTAGATGTTATTGGTTCTTGGTGCACGTCATTTTGTTTTTGACTCCCATGTGCGAAGCACAAAATGGGAGTCTTTGCAGTTAGTGTGTCTGTATGTGTGTATGTGTGTATGTGTGTGTGTATGTGTGTATGTGTGTCCGACTGTTCCACTGCTATCTCAAGAACCATACATCGGTTTTTGATGAAACTTGGTGCATAGATGCTCTGGGCCAATGCGCAGATTTGATTAGGTTTTGGTAAAAATCCATGCTCGTTAATTACCTAATTTGCATGATAATTAGCTATTTTTTAGCTGTTCTATGACTGTTCCACTGATATCTAAAGAACCACTCATTGGATTTTGATGAAACTTGGTACATAGATGCTCTGAACATATGCGCAGATTTGATTAATTTTTGGTAAAAATCCGTGCATATTAATTACCTAATTTGCATGAATAATTAGCTATTTTTTAG